GCTCTGTGCACCCCTGGGTTCAGATCTGTGCACCCCTAGGTTCAGCTTTGTGCACCCCTAGGTTCAGCTCTGTACACCCCTGGGTTGAGCTCTGTGCACCCCTGGGTTCAGCTCTGTGCACCCCTGGGTTCAGATCTGTGCACCCCTAGGTTCAGCTTTGTGCACCCCTAGGTTCAGCTCTGTACACCCCTGGGTTGAGCTCTGTGCACCCCTGGGTTCAGCTCTGTGCACCCCTGGGTTCAGATCTGTGCACCCCTAGGTTCAGCTTTGTGCACCCCTAGGTTCAGCTCTGTACACCCCTGGGTTGAGCTCTGTGCACCCCTGGGTTCAGCTCTGTGCACCCCTGGGTTCAGATCTGTGCACCCCTAGGTTCAGCTTTGTGCACCCCTAGGTTCAGCTCTGTACACCCCTGGGTTGAGCTCTGTGCACCCCTGGGTTGAGCTCTGTGCACCCCTAGGTTCAGCTCTGTGCACCTCTGGGTTCAGCTCTGTGCACCCCTGGGTTCAGATCTGTGCACCCCTGGGTTCAGATCTGTGCACCACTAGGTTCAGCTCTGTGCACCCCTAGGTTCAGCTCTGAGCACTTCTGGGTTCAGCTCTGTGCACCCCTAGGTTCAGCTCTGTGCACCCCTAGGTTCAGCTCTGTGCACCCCTAGGTTCAGCTCTGTGCACCCCTGGGTTGAGCTCTGTGCACTCCTGGGTTGAGCTCTGTGCACCCCTAGGTTCAGCTCTGTGCACCCCTGGGTACCGGCCGTGGGGGTCCATCCTGAAAACCATAAATTCATGTGGATCGGATCCTTCTGAATGTGCTGTGTCTTCATAAACAGGGATTGCATATACTCCACAAGCTGCGAGGAAGCACACGTACTCACATGCAACGAAGTAATCAGGTTTAGGGTTCCAATTGTCATTTTGGTAGATTTTTAACTTTTGTGGCTTTTTTTTATGATCTGCCATAAATATAATGGAATCTCACGCTGAGGACTCACCTCATATACATACCTGTCCGGGATTACAGCAACAACTGTCATCACTATTGTGAAATGAACTTCCTCATTTGCAAGGTTTATGTTGGCAGAGATTATACATCAGGCCGACTATGAGGCAAGAAAAGTCACACACCCGTCTTCTGCCAAAGGATCAGCCCTGTTCAAGTGGACCTGTCATTATGTGTACAAGTCAGCATGAGAGAATCCCTGACATGTCACAACGCACAACAAGATCAATTGTTTTACCATTAATAAGAGCGATCAGAGGTGTGATCTGAGGAATGATCAGAGGAGTGATCTGAGGAATGATCAGAGGAATGATCAGAGGAGTGATCTGAGGAGTTATCTGAGGAGTGATCAGAGGAGTGATCTGAGGAGCGATCAGAGGTGTGATCTGAGGAATGATCTGAGGAGTGATCAGAGGAGCGATCTGAGGAGCGATCTGAGGAGCGATCTGAGGAGTGATCTGAAGAGTGATCAGAGGAGTGATCAGAGGAGTGATCTGAGGAATGATCTGAGGAGTGATCTGAGGAATGATCAGAGGAATGATCAGAGGAGTGATCTGAGGAGTTATCTGAGGAGTGATCAGAGGAGTGATCTGAGGAGCGATCAGAGGTGTGATCTGAGGAATGATCTGAGGAGTGATCAGAGGAATGATCAGAGGAATGATCTGAGGAATGATCTGAGGAGTGATCTGAGGAATGATCAGAGGAGTGATCTGAGGAATGATCAGAGGAATGATCAGAGGAATGATCAGAGGAATGATCAGAGGAGTGATCTGAGGAATGATCAGAGGAGTGATCTGAGGAATGATCTGAGGAGTGATCTGAAGAGTGATCAGAGGAGTGATCAGAGGAGTGATCTGAGGAATGATCTGAGGAGTGATCTGAGGAATGATCAGAGGAATGATCAGAGGAATGATCTGAGGAATGATCAGAGGAATGATCTGAGGAATGATCAGAGGAGCGATCAGAGGAGCGATCTGAGGAGCGATCTGAGGAATGATCTGAGGAGCGATCTGAGGAGCGATCTGAGGAATGATCTGAGGAATGATCTGAGGAATGATCAGAGGAGCGATCTGAGGAATGATCTGAGGAGTGATCTGAGGAATGATCAGAGGAATGATCTGAGGAATGATCTGAGGAGTGATCAGAGGAGCGATCTGAGGAGCGATCTGAGGAGCGATCTGAGGAGTGATCTGAAGAGTGATCAGAGGAGTGATCAGAGGAGTGATCTGAGGAATGATCTGAGGAGGGATCTGAGGAATGATCAGAGGAATGATCAGAGGAATGATCTGAGGAATGATCAGAGGAGCGATCTGAGGAATGATCTGAGGAGGGATCTGAGGAATGATCAGAGGAATGATCAGAGGAATGATCTGAGGAATGATCAGAGGAGCGATCTGAGGAATGATCTGAGGAGGGATCTGAGGAATGATCAGAGGAATGATCAGAGGAATGATCTGAGGAATGATCAGAGGAGCGATCTGAGGAATGATCTGAGGAGTGATCTGAGGAGCGATCTGAGGAGCGATCTGAGGAATGATCTGAGGAGCGATCTGAGGAGCGATCTGAGGAATGATCTGAGGAATGATCTGAGGAATGATCAGAGGAGCGATCTGAGGAATGATCTGAGGAGTGATCTGAGGAGCGATCTGAGGAGTGATCTGAGGAGTGATCTGAAGAGTGATCAGAGGAGTGATCAGAGGAGTGATCTGAGGAATGATCTGAGGAGTGATCTGAGGAATGATCAGAGGAATGATCAGAGGAATGATCTGAGGAATGATCAGAGGAATGATCTGAGGAATGATCAGAGGAGCGATCTGAGGAATGATCTGAGGAGCGATCAGAGGAATGATCTGAGGAGCGATCTGAGGAGTCACTTAGCAGCCAGCGGTGTCAAGAGACTGTCCGAGGGTTTGAATTGTTGTCTCTGGAAACTGCCTAGAGCACCATGACAGGGCACAGATTACCTGATAGGGGCCCATCTGCCTAAAATCCAGTCTCTGCAGTCTGTAATCATGTGAAATGGCCACAATGCACCTGACATTGAGGAGGAGTCCACTTAATTGAGGAAGGACAGAATTTTAAGTTGGCCAAACACTATCATCGGTGAATCTGAGAAGGCTCTGATGGAAGCTGTAATTATTTATCTCTCATCTAGGATTGCCAATTTTCTCCTCATGAGGTTTCCCCACTAAGAAAACCCATTGGAAGTTTCCATCAAAGCCTTCTCACACAAGTATTTTGCCCTTGTGAGAGATTACCCTTTAGAATAAGAATGATGAATTCGCATAACAAATACTGCACTGCCCTTATACTCCCCGTTGCCTTCTGTGGTCCCTCATGAGGTAAGTAGGATGAATAATCCCCCTCACCGCCAACGCAATTGCCCTCATTTCCTCGCACTCTGCCCATATCCAACATGGCGCCGGCAGCACCGCCTCTCCTCAGCCCGCGTGACCAGACGCCGGAACTGACGCATCCCCACTCAGTCCCTCCGCGGTCGCCAGCGGTGCTGTGCGGTGATTGGCTACTGGACGCTCGGCGTCTCCATGGCAGCCCCTCCTCGCTCCGCCCGCCCGGCCAAGATGGCGCTGGCATCGCTAAACGTCTGAGGAGAGCGTAGAGCGAGGGAGAGCGCCGTACCCGGTACAGGCCGAGAGCCGGGTAGCCGCCCACGGGGACACACCGACCGGCACAGCCTGAGGACACCCTGTTGCCTGGCCCTAAAAGAGGCGCGCCACACCTGGCACTGCCAGCCCCGGCTGTCACAGAGAAACCCGGGGACAGGAGGGGGCCCTGCCCGGGAAGAGAGGCCGCAGACGTGTGCCAGGAACTGGGGTGAAGGGGCACTCAGGGCATCTGAGCTGACAGATCCTGGGGGCACCTCACTGGAGGGACCCCTGATGTAAGAGGGGTACGGAGACCACCACCGCCGAAGACATCTGCCAATCATTGGAGTAAGGGGGCACGGCTGGTACTGGACTTGGGGTGCCACAGAGGGCAGAACACCGGTGGATAGGCCGCTGCCATCGGAGAGCCTGCCACAGACATCTGCCAAGTTTTGGAGTAAAGGGGCACTGCTGGCAGAGAAACCGCCAGCATCAGAGTTGTCGGATTCTGGGGGGCACCCTGCGAGACGGACCCCCCCATCTTATCAGGGACCTGCCATCACCATAAACATCCGCCTGGCATTGGTCTACTATAGGGGCACTGCTGGCAACAGATTTGTTGACCGGGGCAATCCCCCTGCTGCCATCTGAGAGACGCCGCCACCGCCTGAGGCATCTGCCAAGCTTTGGAGTGCTGCTGGCATCACACTTGTCAGGTCTCGGGGTACAGCACTGAGGGCCACAAAGACACCTGGAGGAAGCTGCAGACATCAGAGTAAAAGGGCCCCGCTGGCATCAGACTTGGGGAGCAGCTGGCACCACACCAGAGACAGCTGGCCCTAAGGAGACGCCGCCATCTTCCAACAGCTGGATAGACGGCAAGAGACTGCTGGCATCTGACACCCACACAGGGATATTGCTGCCACCAAGAATTGACATCTGGCATTGCCGGCTCTGGGGACACATAAGCTGGCATTGTCCGCTGGCACCGGAGAGAGACGTGTCGCCTTCATGCATCTGTGCCGGGGAGAGCACTGGTACTGAAGGGAGACCTAGAGAGTGCTCAGGAGGGAGACTGCCGCCTGCCCGTTGGGAGTACCCCTGACCCGGACCTTTTGTTGAGGAGACATCGCCGGTTTTGTATCACGGCCAGTACAGCGAGCCGGCACCACGTAGTACACCAGGTCTCTCTGGTAATCTGGCATTGAGGGCTGGCACCATATGATTGGTGATTGAGTCACACCTGGTACAGATGGCACTTGACACAAAGCTTGCTGGGAAGATACAAACGTCTGTCACCGGGTAACAGTCCTCGCACTGACACCCCGATCAGTGGCGTCGTACGGCTCTGCCCCCGGAAGCGCTGAATCCCACACCTGGCTGAAATCTCAAAGCCGTTGCGGGCGCCCGTGACTTTCCCGTGCCCAGGAAGGCCCCTCAATGCATTGTACGTTTGGCATCACCTGAGGCCCGTCGTTCCCCTCCGCTTCAGACATGACCACCCCGGCTCTTCTCCCCCTCTCCGGGCGCAGGATCCCAGCGCTCAACCTCGGGGCCTCCTCTATCCCCCATCACCGTGCCACCCTGAGGCTCTCCGAGAAGTTCATCCTGCTCCTCATCCTCAGTGCCTTCATCACGCTGTGTTTCGGGGCTTTCTTCTTCCTCCCGGACTCGTCCAAACACAAACGCTTCGACCTGGGCCTTGAGGACGTGCTGATACCCCATATAGACTCCGATAAAGGAGACAAGATCACTGGCAACTTTCTTATCCACGGCCAGGGCCACGACGGGCATCGGCACAGGTAAACTGGCTTTGCTACTTTTATTTATTGTTTTGGGGTTGGCTTCAAATTTTCATTTAGATAAAGAAGCAAAAAAAAAAAAATATGGAGCCTGACATGGAGTATGATGGGGCCAGGCGCCCAACTTTAGAGGTCTTCTCTAGTTCTTGTCAATGGAGCTCCTAAAAGAAGTCTGGCTTCTGCATTGGACAGACTGGCTTCTGGATCCCATATTTAATGATACATAATAAACCCCTTAAGATTCCGATCAATCAAATATTCTTAGAGGTCCATCAGAAGGCGCCTTTACCTTAGATCAGGGATTGTAGAACCTACAGGTCACACCGCTACCACTCCATGGGAAGGTTTATATGCACCTTGCTTTATTTACAGACCCTGTAATGCTGAATTGTTCTTCCCTCCGTGGAAGGTGCCCAAGCTCCATTTATTATTTTGTTGCAGGGAATCGGATCGATAAGATAAGGGGAAATAAACGTAAAGCAATCAGTATAAACACAAAGGCCGTATATCCTACAAGGGTAGCGCACAGCAGGAGGAGGGGGGCACGACAGGCAGTTTTCTGTTGGGTAACTTTTACATTTTAGTGTCGCCCTGCGAGCTGCGTTCTTATTGCCGGAGAGGGTGACTCCTGTACTGCCGTTTAGACTGACGCAGTTCTCCGTCTGCAATATTTATCTGTAACTAGACAGATACAAAGCAGTCTGGATCACGTCTGTGTTTCCATGGCCCCGGGTACCTCTGAGAATGCATGGACGGGGCTCTCGGATGTCATTTTCTATCAGGCTGTAGATCATTGACAGGAACATCGGCCGGTACAGAGTCATGCTGCAAGGCATAATCATAGGAACACACCTACTGAGATGTCAGCCAGTGCTGTACAGACACATTGACTGGGATGAAGTGTCAGCTGGTCCCACACAGACACATTTAAAGGGCTGATATGGTATTCTGCCTAATATGAGCACGCTGGGATTTTACCATTATGAATACACCCACCCAAGTGTCACCCAGCACCATATAGAGGCACACTTACTAAGGTGTCACCCATCTCCATACAGAGGCACCCTTACTAAGGTGTCACCGAGCACCATATAGATGCACACTTACTAAGGTGTCACCGAGCACCATATAGATGCACACTTACTAAGGTGTCACTGAGCACCATATAAATGCACACCTACTAAGGTGTCACCGAGCACCATATAGATGTACACTTACTAAGATGTTACCGAGCTCCATATAGAGGCACACTTACTAAGGTGTCACCGAGCACCAATTATATGCACACTTACTAAGGTGTCACCGAGCACCATATAGATGTACACTTACTAAGGTGTCACCGAGCTCCATATAGATGTACGCTTACTAAGGTGTCCCCGAGCTCCATATAGATGCACGCTTACTAAGGTGTCCCCTAGCTCCATATAGATGTACGCTTACTAAGGTGTCCCCGAGCTCCATATAGATGCACGCTTACTAAGGTGTCCCCTAGCTCCATATAGATGTACGCTTACTAAGGTGTCCCCGAGCTCCATATAGATGCACGCTTACTAAGGTGTCCCCTTGTTCCATATAGATGCATGCTTACTAAGGTGTTCCCATGCTCCATATAGATGTACGCTTACTAAGGTGTTCCCGAGCTCCATATAGATGTGCGCTTACTAAGGTGTCACCCAGCACCATATAGATGCACGCTTACTAAGGTGTCACCCAGCACCATATAGATGCACGCTTACTAAGGTGTCACCCAGCACCATATAGATGCACGCTTACTAAGGTGTCACCCAGCACCATATAGATGCACGCTTACTAAGGTGTCACCCAGCACCATATAGATGCACGCTTACTAAGGTGTCACCCAGCACCATATAAATGTAAACTTACTAAGGTGTCACCCAGCACCATATAAATGTACACTTACTAAGGTGTCCCCAAGCTCCATCTAGAAGCGCACTTACTAAGGTGTCACCCTATATGAACTGACAGTTACCAATTGGCGTGTCACCCAGTTTTATATAGACGCACATTATTAAGGTGTCACCCAGATCTATATAACCACATTAAGTGAGATGACTGTTACTAAGCAGCTACGTCACATAGCTCCATACAGACATAAGGTGTCTCCCGGTCCCAGTCCCTGAGCTGACAGTTATCATCTGATGCGTCACCTAGTTCCATATGGAGATGCACTGAATAAGGTGTCACCCAGCCTCCTATGATCACGGAGATGCCTCACCCGGCTCCACACACATTGAGGCTGATAGACTGAAGGAGTTGACAATCTTCACTCAGTACATTGCAGCCGTTTTGTCTTTAGATTCCCAGCTATGAGCAGATGAAAGCAATAAATGTGAATGGCAATGATACGATTGGACGATTGAAGTGACTTTGCACCCAGTGAAGGGTTCCCCTTCTAGTAAATCGGCTCGCGCCCATTGATTGGCCATTGTGAACGATACGAACACTCCCGCTGAGAAAACCCGGATCGGTCGGCCGGCGTGTTACGAACACACTTCAGTCTTGTACAGAAACATGATATGTATTTTTATTGTAATTCCTACAAACTGGTAAAATGCTTGTTTGCGTCGTAGCCGCGGTTCACTCCTCTGCGATAATGCACAATTATAAAATCAAAGAGTAAACCAGGAAAATTCAGCGGGGGAGGGGCTGCTGAAAACAATTGCAGGTTTACACACGAGTCGGAGAACAGCATGGTGGGACGCAGCTGGCTTTCTTCTCAGTTTACATGTGTTTACCATCCGCCTGTCAGGTGAATAATACCCATATCTCCAATACAGTCAGCGTTTGACATTGTGGGTTGACCGGGGGAAGGGGGGAGGATCTTTCGGGGTGGTACACACAGAATGGGGGCTCCCCGGCTGCACGGAACTGCAGGATATCATCGGCGCTCGCCGGTTTGTTTCTGGTTGTATGTGATCTTGCCGATGTGTGCATCTTACATGTACGGGACTGCCACGATCCACACTGGGCTTTCACAATATTTTTTTTTTAACATGGGGGGACCCTTGAAATAACTCTCAGGTGTCAGAGATCGCTGCTGATAACAATTATATCTACAATAAGGAGCGTGGCCTACTAGGTGTATTAGACAACTGTTCTTTATGACACAATTGTTTTCTGTAATAAGAACAAATCGACAGGAATAATAGCCAGAAAAGAAACACAGTGATGTGTGTTTCCCTGGAAGTCAGTGGGAAGAATGCTCCTTCCATTGGGGGTCAGTGGGAAGAATGGTCCTTACATTGGGGGGCAGTGGGAAGAATGGTCCTTACATTGGGGGGCAGTGGGAAGAATGGTCCTTACATTGGGGGGCAGTGGGAAGAATGGTCCTTACATTGGGGGGCAGTGGGAAGAATGGTCCTTACATTGGGGGGCAGTGGGAAGAATGGTCCTTACATTGGGGGGCAGTGGGAAGAATGGTCCTTACATTGGGGGGCAGTGGGAAGAATGGTCCTTACATTGGGGGGCAGTGGGAAGAATGGTCCTTACATTGGGGGGCAGTGGGAAGAATGGTCCTTACATTGGGGGGCAGTGGGAAGAATGGTCCTTACATTGGGGGGCAGTGGGAAGAATGGTCCTTACATTGGGGGGCAGTGGGAAGAATGGTCCTTACATTGGGGGGCAGTGGGAAGAATGGTCCTTACATTGGGGGGCAGTGGGAAGAATGGTCCTTACATTGGGGGGCAGTGGGAAGAATGGTCCTTACATTGGGGGGCAGTGGGAAGAATGGTCCTTACATTGGGGGGCAGTGGGAAGAATGGTCCTTACATTGGGGGGCAGTGGGAAGAATGGTCCTTACATTGGGGGGCAGTGGGAAGAATGGTCCTTACATTGGGGGGCAGTGGGAAGAATGGTCCTTACATTGGGGGGCAGTGGGAAGAATGGTCCTTACATTGGGGGGCAGTGGGAAGAATGGTCCTTACATTGGGGGGCAGTGGGAAGAATGGTCCTTACATTGGGGGGCAGTGGGAAGAATGGTCCTTACATTGGGGGGCAGTGGGAAGAATGGTCCTTACATTGGGGGGCAGTGGGAAGAATGGTCCTTACATTGGGGGGCAGTGGGAAGAATGGTCCTTACATTGGGGGGCAGTGGGAAGAATGGTCCTTACATTGGGGGGCAGTGGGAAGAATGGTCCTTACATTGGGGGGCAGTGGGAAGAATGGTCCTTACATTGGGGGGCAGTGGGAAGAATGGTCCTTACATTGGGGGGCAGTGGGAAGAATGGTCCTTACATTGGGGGGCAGTGGGAAGAATGGTCCTTACATTGGGGGGCAGTGGGAAGAATGGTCCTTACATTGGGGGGCAGTGGGAAGAATGGTCCTTACATTGGGGGGCAGTGGGAAGAATGGTCCTTACATTGGGGGGCAGTGGGAAGAATGGTCCTTACATTGGGGGGCAGTGGGAAGAATGGTCCTTACATTGGGGGGCAGTGGGAAGAATGGTCCTTACATTGGGGGGCAGTGGGAAGAATGGTCCTTACATTGGGGGGCAGTGGGAAGAATGGTCCTTACATTGGGGGGCAGTGGGAAGAATGGTCCTTACATTGGGGGGCAGTGGGAAGAATGGTCCTTACATTGGGGGGCAGTGGGAAGAATGGTCCTTACATTGGGGGGCAGTGGGAAGAATGGTCCTTACATTGGGGGGCAGTGGGAAGAATGGTCCTTACATTGGGGGGCAGTGGGAAGAATGGTCCTTACATTGGGGGGCAGTGGGAAGAATGGTCCTTACATTGGGGGGCAGTGGGAAGAATGGTCCTTACATTGGGGGGCAGTGGGAAGAATGGTCCTTACATTGGGGGGCAGTGGGAAGAATGGTCCTTACATTGGGGGGCAGTGGGAAGAATGGTCCTTACATTGGGGGGCAGTGGGAAGAATGGTCCTTACATTGGGGGTCAGGGGGAAGAATGCTCCTTACATTGGGGGTCAGTGGGAAGAATGACGCAGAGCTTGCTGGGAAGACACAAACATGCCCAGCAAGG